CAGCTCCATTCTGGTTCTGATCCAGTGAAGAGCAGTTTCTATATTGAGTTATATCTCACTGCTTAACTTTCCACTTGATTATTCTTTAGACCTCCTATTTCTTTACCAGAGCTTTCTGTCTATTTGTTGGAAGAGTTTTCTCCTTTTTTGAAACTTGTTTTTATACTGGGTCTCTTTGCGTTGCTCAGATTCACACCTCAGCTTCCCCAGTAGTCGGGATTATAGTAAAGGCAACCGCCACGTGCCTGACTGCTTCTTACGGCATTTTTACCACGCATCCTTTAAAGTGTCTGTCAGATGAACCCAGCTTCCAGCTCAACTTTGGCATGGACTGATGAGCTTTTTCCAGGCAGGTTGAAAGTTTGCTAGTTATTTATATACTTAGTAACTTTGATGGTAGCCCAACCACCTTATGAAACTGGATCTTGCATAAATCTTACAGGTAATATTGATTTTTTTATTTTAGGAAGCATTCAACCTAGTTTGATTTAGTTCTGTAAGTTCCGTCTGCCCTTCTGTGTCCATCCCGTTTGTAGCCCTCTCCAATCTGTCTCCCCATGTGCTACTCACCCCTGGTTTGAACTTGGCAGTGTCTAGCCCTTACATCAGTTCTCAAAGTTTTTGATTTAGGGTCAGGACTACACACTACAGGTAGGCAGGCGAGCAGCTTACCTGGAAGGAAGAGCCTAGGAATATATACATAACCTTTTGGTGTGAAACAAATTTTCTTCATTGTTTGCAGTCTCCCTGGCACTTGCCGGTTCTTAGGTTCCTTTTCCAGTCTCCTGAACACAAAACTAGGCCACTGTTCATTCCATTCCTTACTCACTTCCAGGAACTGAGCCTAGATTTGGGGCCCAAAGAGCAGAGAAGCAAAGCTGTCTCTTCTGAGAGCACACCTCCTCCCCTCAGGAAGGGCTGCCTCTTTCTCTGGGGGGCAGGCTCCTATAGCCACTATGCAGCTCTGCGAACACCTTGGGACTCCTCAGGGGTCCAAGGCGTCAGGGTTCCGAGAGGCATGGAAGGAGTGTTTCCCCTGCTGTCTGAACACCAAAGGTGTCCTTTCTTCTACCAGGTGTTAGAGCCCTGGTGCGCCCCCACAAAGCCAGGCCTATGGTAAGTCCAGGCCAGGGACAGCAGGAAAAGCAGTGACCCATTCATCCTTTTGATGATGTTTCGTTCCAGTGTCCTGTTCCCCGGTCTGCCTACTTCTGTGACTTCCCACAGCCCTCACAACAGCAGCTGTCTGCTTGCTGCCAGATCCTGTGAAGGTGTTCTGTAGGAGGGGCCAGGTACAATGTCCATGGACCAGAACCAGAGCCCTGCTTATCTCTATTGGAGTGCTTCAGCTTTCCTTCAAAACTAACTCTGGTTGCTCCTGAGGATCAGCAGCTTGAGGTCACATGGCTGTGACCTGTGCCATGGTGCCCAGGTCCAGGGAGCCCCTTCCAGGTAACCTGTAGCTGTCATGAGGAGAAGCTGTAGAAATGGAAGCTCTACTCTTAGTGGCCACCCACGGCCACAGCCACTGAGATGTTCCTGGGCAGGGCCCTGCAGATAGCACAAGTCTTCCTGAGTGTGTCTCCCTCAACCTGGCCAAGGCAGAGCCCCAAGGGCTGGACTGCTGAATGACAGCCCTTCTTGAGAAGCTGTCATCTTCTGCAAAGGAACTGTGGTGGCTGAGAGAAAGGAGACTTCTTGACAAGCCTTTGGAAATGCAGTACTCTGCCTCACAGGGAAGGCACGCACAGTGGTTGAGCCTGAGCCCTGGTGTCAGAGGGAGGTGGCATCCAGGCCAGGCCTGCCCCCGACCGTGTGCTCCATGCCCAGCCATGTGCACTGGGGGCACAGGACGTGTTGTTGAGGGAGCTCTTATGATGATGTTCATGGCCACCAGGACAAGGAAGAGATTCACCTGAGATCAGCAGGGCACAGGCAGACTGCTCCCAGACTAGTTCTTCCCGTGGTACCCCTAAGTGTGCCATCTGCCTTTTCAGAGCTAGTCTCATCAAGTGAAGACTGCCTCTCCCCCTCAGGGTCCTGCTCACCCCCTCCCTTCGTGTGCATGGGAACCTCCTGTCCATTGTGCAGCACAGTTTACCCTGTGACCAGCATCCTGCCTCCTGCCTCTAACCTCTAGAGAGATTTTAGAAGGCTTTTTCAATTACGTGGTTATAGTGCATATGTTAAAATAACCAGTGAAGCCAAAATAAAAACAGCTCCAGCCTTCAGAAGAGTAAACTCAGAGACACAGCTCAGCCTCCAACAGAGCTTGCCTTGACCCAGCTATTCTGACACAGCAAGGATGCCTAGGGCCCAGCACAGACTAGAGAAAGGGTACATCTAGGAAGAAACCAGGAGAAAAGCTATGAAGGAAAAGAGTTACAGAATGTGGCCTGTGGAGGCCACTTCCCACAGCACAGGGTCATGGGCCTAGTGTTGGGGACACCCAAGCTAGAGAAAGGTGGTATGTTAGTGCTTTACCTTTGGACCGTCCACAATGGCTAAACTGGCCGCTGAGAACTCGTGTGATGATTTGAACCTCCAGAAATTGTGTTTTCCACGTGAACATATTCTGGTTTTTTTTTTTTTTTTCTGGCAGATTTTCCTACATTTTAGAAAGATTCTTGCCAATAGTAATTGTGGGTTCCCTTCGTGCAAATAGGGATAGTATGAGCCATCTGACTGTGGACAGGTTGGAGTCAAAGGCATTGTTTGTGAGAGCCATTTAAACTAACCAAAGCGTTTGTTTCCTATAGGATGAAGTGTGGTTTTCAGGTGAGTTTGTGAACTAATGTTCTTGATTGTGACTTACTACATCTTTTGAGTTATGCCACCCAATAGACTGTCTAGTGCATATCATTTAAGAAGCAGTTGTCTACAGGAGGATCACTATGATTCCTGCCTGTGCAATGAGACCCTGTAGACCCTCTACTAAATACATAAAAAGTAAAATAAGAAAGAAACCGTTTTCTACAACAAAAAAACAGTGAAGTTGAACATGTCCGGAAACCTCTGGTTGATATACAGATGTATGATCACCCCATTATGCGACACTCTTCCAACTGAAGAGAAAGGTCACCCTAATTTGGCAGTCATTCATCACAGCAGCGCTCAAGGCCAAAGCATGGTGAATGGCACTGGAAGGTACCATTAACTCTCAGACCCACTCCCGGCCCCAGCTGGATCACCCACCTCATTTTATTCCAACTGATTTACCCAAGTTCTGGGCTATTCTCCCAGAACACTGTGGCTGCGCCTCTTCCTGGGTCAAAGCCTAGAAGACAAGCCACCACTCTGCTTGCCATCGGGGCAGAGATCAGCATTACTTCTTTGAGCATCTAGAGCTGCTTCTGCTGTTTTTTTATTCCCCAAGACAAGGTCCCTAAAATCACTTCCTACAAGTGACACCGGGGTACCTTTCTCTCTGCTTTCTTTTTTCTTTTTTTTTTTTAAGTTAGGCATAACAACAGTAACAATAATAATGATTAACAGTGTGATTTCAAGCCCCTTTCTGAAGAAAGACAGTAAACAGAGTCTGTTTGCCTAAGGAAACCCTCCCAGCAATCAGCCTTTCACAACTGCATGTGCTAATGAACCCAAAGCTGTTAATGCGGTTTCTTCAGTTAAATTGATTCATGAATTTTGAAGAGAACATTATCTAATGAATTTTCTTTGAATAGAAAGCAATTAAAAGGACAAATCAGTCTGATTAACCCCAAAGTCACCCTCCTGCCACAAATGGTGTACAGTTTGAAATTATATCACAAAAAACTAGAGCACATTTGCTATCTTTTTGCCCTCTACTAATCCATGTAAATTAATGAACAACAAAGTTAATTTCTTTGATGACCCTTTTCTAGTATCACCTGGATTATGCTGATGTTTAATTTGCTTAATGTTATAATAAAGACTAAACAGATTTTTTTTCCCAGTGAAGTGATTATCGTACCCTTCAGTTAAGGAGTGATTTTTATTATTTAACATGCATGTAAGGGTGTGTTTCCTTTAAGAACCAAATCGCACTTTGCCAGCTTGGCACCAAGTGTAATGAATGCTCTCACGGACACACTCGGAAATGTGGTTTCTGCCCAGAGTCCTGGCCTTTGTTGTCACCATTCAGAAACTCCTGTCCCGGGAGTGCTTTGAGCCAGTGGGATGGGGAATGTGCCTCTCTCTCCAGTGCTCCCGAGCCATGTGTCCCCTCTGGAAAGACAATAGATATCGATTCAGACCGGCCTCCTTCGCGGGGCTGGGTTTCTGCCCTGCACACTTCACACCTAGAAAGCATTTCTAAAATCCAGAGGTGGCGAGAGGGATGGTGGCCACATGTTTCCCTGGTCATCCCTGCAGCAGGAAGCGGAGTGCATGTGATTTGATGTGACCAATTAGAATGAGAAAGTGTTATTTTATTTGTTCAGCCCTACTCATTAAAGATGCCCATAACCAAGGTCAGCGCCCGCCCACGCACGCACGTCACCAGGGCGTCTGGCACTCGGAGCAGGGGCCGAGGGCTAGCTTGCTCGTCGTTGGGTGTGCGCAGCTAGTGTAACACCCCTGCCCCGTCCCTGGCTCCTTGTACCTTCTGTGCCCTAGCTGAAGCGGGAAACGAACCAGTAGTCCAAGAAGCTTCCTAATTGCTAGGCAGGCAGGGCCTTCTCTGCTGTGTAACTGAGCTGTTCCCCAATGCCGATGTGCTCACGTGCCAGAAGTGTATCAGGTGGAAGTCCTGCGTGGAACATGGAGGAGTGGGAGGATTGTCCCATCTGAGCAGAGACGGGGAGGCCTTCTGCGGAGCCTGGCTGCTTTGTGCCCACCTCCCTCCCGTTTCTCCTCGCCTGTGACATGGTGACAGGGTACGGTGTTGTGGCTGTGTTTTAATTGACTGTAACACCTCTATTTGTGTTGTTGCATTTTCTGCTCCGGGACTGGCAGCTATTTATATCAGAGCTGTTGGAGCCGTTTGTCCAAATAACATCATTCTGCATTCTTGCTTTCAGATTCATTCACCAGACAGGTGTTATGGAAACTGCTGAAGGTTGTGAAATTCGGAGAAATGGTTTCTTACCAGCAATTAGCAGCCCTGGCAGGCAACCCCAAAGCAGCTCGCGCAGTGGGAGGAGCGATGAGAAGCAATCCTGTAAGTCCTGGAGACACGGGGTCAGGCTGGCCAAGGCCAACGGGGCACTGGGGGGTGAAGTGTCATTTGATTAAACATTTCAGGGCAACCTGTGTAGCTGGGGTGGGAAGGAGAGGAGACCTCTGGGATAGAGCCCATTGTACCACAACTACTTAGGCCCCTGATCATGGAGTGGAGCCTAGAGAGGTGGACAGGAAGGAGGTTCCGTTCACTTGTCCACTCGTTGGGTCACTCACTGCACAGTACAGAATGCTGGCTGCCTGTTGAGAGGGCAATATTCCTTCTGATGCCATGAGTGTAGTTCTAGGAGGCTGCACCTAAAATAGTGTGACCTCATCTCTCTGGGGCTACATTGTCATTGTCTCATGGGGCCCAGCATGTCCTGGGCCTCCAGGGCATGAACACAGGAGGTATACGACCCTACAGCACGGACAGCATGCTGCATCCACAGGAGCCTCACCAGAATAGCCCCTCTTGCGCACCCTTGTCCCTCCGGGTCTGTAGTCAGGTCTTACAGTGTACCCACAGAAAGGCCTGACTGTGCTCGCAGAGGATAGGCAAAGTACGGACCTTGTCTTCTCAGTCACGGCCCACATCATCCTGTGTGAACGTGGATGTCACTCACATCATGTGACGTGGGCCAGGCTGAAGCTCCACAGCCTGTGACACCGGGTGATCAGGAAGGGCCCTCACACACCCTACCGGGACAGCCTGCACCACCCTGAGAACCCCCTGGAATGCTCCTTCTCATCAGCCCCCATGCCTGGTGAGGGGATGCTATCAAGTTAGTAACGGTTTCTCCCTAAAGCTATGTGAGTCTCTAATATGATAGAAGAATGCCATCTTATCAGGGAGAGCAAATGTGATCATTGTATCGTGGGATGGGAAATTACTAAATCAGATAGACCCTACTTTAAATTTTTTTTTTCCTGTGGCTTTGCTGTATATTTTTCAAACTATTTTCATCCCTGCTCACAAGGGAGAGCCGGCGTTTTCACACCACAGCTGGCTGCTCCTACCGGCCTCCGTGGCAGCCTGAGGGCAGAGCCCTCTGGTTTCCAGGAGATGGCAATTACGCATCCTTTTGCACAAGACTGCATTATTATTCTTGAAAAAGCGGCTCCTGTGGGCTTGTGGTGGGTCTCATTGTCTCGTTGTGCACCCTGCTCAGGGGGAAGTTGTCTGCCTTGTTGAAATAAACCACATTGTCTGGGGCCAGACACAGCATGAGCCAGACTCACTCCCTGGTTCGTATCCTGGGTTTTGGTGACAATGTCGAGTGGTATAATAGTGTTTCCTCTTGTAACTGTTGTATGCTAATTGTAAGGTGTTGGCTACCAATGAATTTTTATAGTGCCTGTTGGATGCTTCCGAGTCTAATTTCTGAAGATGGTTTTTGACATCTCCAGCTTGATATCCATCTTCCCTTTGGAAGGCCAGCATCTTCTCCCAGGTCACAATTCACATTTGAGGCATTTGGCTTTGCGACAGGCAGAAGCAGACCAAATGCCTTAACTGTACTCAGTGCCACCCGAAAACATGACCAGATAACATTTTGTATGCCCTCCTTCTGCATGATTGCAGCTGCTGTTTCAGGCAGTGTTTCTCCCCTTCATGCCCTTGAGGGAGAGTTGGCCTTCTCTTCACTGAGATTTGAGTGTCTCTAGAGGTCAAGGTAGAGAAGGTGGCTGTGTGTTCCTCTGCTGGTTCCTGCAGCAGGATACAGCACACAAGTACAGTTTCATGTGTCCAGTTTGGGAGTGAAGCTGCCCTGTGTTTGTCCATGGATCCCTGTGTGCACACGTGAAGGTGGGAGCTGGGCCACCAGTGCCACCAATGCTGTTTGCTTCCTCCATCTGCGCAGACTACTGCTTCTGTAAAAGCAAGCTCCACTGACTGACATAAATGAGTTAGTAACCACCCCACATGCACATGCTTGTCTTATGTGACACCGGAAGTTTCGGCTCACTCTGCAGTGGAAACGCCATCACTGGCTAGTGACCTGCTCATGGCAGTATCCAGAAACATTTATTGTTCTGCAAGCCAGGGTGATTCTTTCTTCTGCTATTAATCTCTGTGAACATCTCTGTTCTGATACAGCCTCAGTCATCTAAATTGATAAAAAGGAGCCTTACAGGATTTAAAACCCTTAATGCCTAATATGCACATGTGCACATGCTGATGCTGTGCTAAGGTCGGGACTAGAGGAAAGAACAGAGTCAAAAGGAGGTTTCTCCAAGTAGCTGTCTCCCTCTCTCAGGATCCTTATCCCTCTGTGTCAGGAGCAGTTTAGGAGCTGCTAATCCCCTTCTCTGGCCTCTCTTTGGACTTCAGCTCATGCAGGGGCTTGAAGAAGGATGTGCAGAAGGATGCTGTGGGACCCAGAACTGCCACATATGCCCACGAGATGTGTCTCAATATAAGACAACCTGCAGCTGCACATCGTGCAGTAGCTCAGGATGATGAGTCCCCACCAAGATCCCCTGAAAGACTTAAGTAGGATAAATAGTTCGAAAGGGACCGAGGGACCACGAGACAAATGCCCTGGCTTGAGATGGGTCATGCCTGGTGTCCCTGTCCTTAGCAGGTATCTCCAGCGGTGCTAGCCACAAGGCCCACCTGGAGAACTGGAAGCATCACCCTGCTCAGGAATGGCAAGTTGAGAGGAGCTAACAGAAAACCTCTCATACTCAGGCTGAACAGAACAGTTGTGCATTTAAGAGAGTGAGGGTGAAAGAAATGGATTCAGAGTGTTATAAATACCATAAGTACCACATTGCAGTAACTCCTCAGGTGCCAGAATAAACACAGCCATAAGCTGTTCCTGTCACAGCACTAGTTATGAATATAGGTTTGTCCCTCTCTTTCCCAGAGAGGGAGTAGGTTTCATGGTATGGGAGTCTCTACCATCCTAGAATCTGTTTTCTTCCAAATTTTCCGGGGAGGACTCGCCAGCCCCATGGGGTGATCAGGCAGCCTTCTGGCAGGTTGTGCCCCACCCAGCACGGGAGGCTGGTCAGTGTTCTACTGTATCAAGTTGAAGACTCATCACAGCCCCCACCCCACGATGCCCCCTTCTACTTCATCCTCAGACAGAATTTGCTAAATGCAGTTCAGAGTCAATCGATACATGCACAGAGAGTTTCCCACCTTTTTCTAAACAAACGCATTCCTGAGGAGTTAGTTTATTCTCAGATTGCCGTGAGCGTTGATGACCCCCGAGTCTTGTTCTGCCACTCACCCAGATGGCTGTTGATAAAGATTTAGCATCATGTTCTAAGTGTCAGGGTTGTCAGTGGAGCTGAACCATTTGACCAGAAGAAAAAAACGCACAGGGAGCTATTGATTACAACTTCTCGGTGTCACTTGTTCACCAGGATTTAGGTATTGATGAGGCTGCGAGTGAAAACAAGCTTTTTCCCTTGTGGGCTCTACCCAGAAGAACAAAGGCGAAGTTGGAAAAAATATTCAGCCGGTTCCAGAATCAGAGGGATTCCATTATTGATTGAAAGGCCCCTTCATGTTATTTTTGTTGGAGACAAATCTATGGGTTTGGAAGTTTTATAGCATTTGTGAGAGGGTCTGCATAAGTGATGGATTCGGGTATTGGATGAATTAGATTTCACAGCATGAAGATTTCAATGCAGCTGTGATATTATGAGCTTCCTGGTTATTGATAAAAATTACATTTTATGCAGCACAGGCTTTAAAGACGAGGGCGTAGAGGGTAAGGATCCTTTGAAAATATCCTTAGGGCCCCAATAAATTTTAGTGGTTCATTGTTCTAGTAGTCAGAAACCTACCACCAAAACTGAAACAGAAACCGGGGTCCTGTTTCTGTGGTAAAAACAGTGCATATGAATAAGTGACCTGTTCCCATCACTGCAGACATGCAATAAAGCCTGGCTGTAGCTGTCAGGGTCACTGTCATTATTCGCCATCAGTTTAGTCTTTGTATTGATACACAGAGGGAAGAGGAAGACGTTTTTATTACTCCTTTTTATAATTTCATAGCGTGTTAGGAGGGAAGGGAGAGAAATCAAGGCTGGAAACTATCACGTGTGCCTAAGTGTAAGCTAGATTAAGTTAAATAACTACCTTTTTATCAGTCAGAACTGAAAATTAGGTGCTAATACTGTCCTCAGCAGAAACTGTTAGTGTGACTATTGTGTTTAACAAAAGCCACCACATAGCTGGACTTGGTGGCCCATGCCTGTAATCTCAGCACGGAAGTAAGAGAAATGCAAGTTCAAGCCCAGCTCAGGAAGACTTAATGATTTAGTGCATCCCTGCCTGAAAATACAAAACTGAGAGCACTGTTTAATACAAAGGCTCTGAGTTCAATCTGCAAGAATGACAAAAAGCCACCTATTGGTGTAAATATTCCATTTTACTGTTTTCTGTTGCCCCTTCCAAGGAGCCTGGGAGTCTGGGGCTAGATGCTGTCCGAGGTCTGTGGTAGGGTGACACTTCTGGTTTGGGGGGATTTTGGGGTTTTTTGGTTTGTTTGTTTGTTTAATGTATTTGGTGTAAGGTCTCACTAGGCAGCTCAGACTCATAGTGATCCTCCTGTTTTCAGCCTCCCCAGCACTGGGATTACAGACCTGTGCCACCATACCCAGACTCAGTGGCTGGCTCAGCGTGCCCAGGGGTGGGGTCAGCATGGCCTGTGGTGCTGGAGATTGAACCCCGATTCCTGTTCTTGCCTAAGCAGGCGCTTAGTCCGCTGCGCTATCTCGCTGGCCCAGGGTGACTACTTTTGAACCTGCTGAGCTCCACTTGAACAGTCCAGTCTCCTTTGCTCTCTCCACATCATGCTGATGGTCCCTGTGACTCTCCTAGACTGCATCTGCACATGTCACCATGCTAACCCAAACTTGTAGTCAAACCAGGATGGGCTTTGTGGGGTGAGGGAAGCCAGATCCCCTGCCTCCCGGGCCCCATTACCTGCCAGTATGGGTCACTTGTCCACAGAGTCCCAGCACCACATCAGTCCCACTTCAAGGAGCAGCAGGCAGTGCACATGTAAGAGCTGTGGAGATAACAGTGGATGGCTTCAGACTCTGCCCAACCCTTTAGGTTTTCTCTCTTGTAACAGTCTTGTGACTGTGGGTGGCTTTGTGTCCAGTGTAGGGGCTGAGACGACCTCAACCCCCTGGGACATGTATAACCGAGCCTTACAAAGGGAAACACATAGCAGATACAGTCCAGTAGTGAGGGCTTCAGTGATGCAGGCAACACTCCAGGAAGCAGAGTGTTCCCAGATAGAGAGCTCAGAGGTTTCAGATGCAGCATCTCTTAGCTGGCCAGCAGCTGGTCATTTTGTTCAGCTCGCTTTCCTTGGGGGACAGATAAAGGCAGGGAGTGCGAAGGTGACAGCACTCTCACTGCATGGTGAGCAGGAGAAAGAAAGGTGCAGATCAGGTGGGTGCCCAGCAACAGTCTGGAGCCTTCGCCCTTGCGCTCCTGTGGGAGTGGCTGGGTTTCTTGTCAGGCAGGCACCTGGGGCAGGGTAGCCCTGTGAGTGTGCCTGCTCTGTGCCTTCCTGCGGCAGTGAGCCGGAGTCCTCGCCCTCTCTGCAGCCGGCCCCGTTCCTGTAGTTGGACTCGTTGGCAGTTTACCTTCCCCACAAGAGCAGAGATCACCACACTTTTCCCCGTACTAAGGCATGTCACCACACATGTCGGGGTCACTGAGGTCTGTTTCCCCCCAGGGCTCTCCCACAAACCTTTTCCTTAGGCACACCTTGTTGAGCTCCCACTACATGGCTGTCCTGAGGAATGAACCCAGAACCACTCTTCTTAGGAACTACTTGTTGGAATCCTTAGGCAGAAGTGGCTGCAGAGCCTCCTGAGGTCCCCGGCAGCATATAGATGGGATGCGGCTCTTGGTGACCCCTGTGTGCGGCCATCCCTGGCACGCTAAGCATGCTGTGAGCTGTTTCCGCTGCCACCTAGGAAGACAGGTGGGCAGCCAGAGGCGACTCCACTCCCTGCGGCTTTCAGGAGTCCATTGATCCTACCTGTGCCTTTTCTACCTGTACTCTGAGCCATACAAGACATGAAGAGCAGATGCCTGCTATTCATTTTTTTAGGATAAATGTAGGATTGGAACAGATGACATGACCATGGTGTCTTCCAGCAATTTCCACCAGAATCAGACTTCCATTATCAGCCCTGCTGGCTGGGCTCAGGCCTCCCCAACCAAGGAATGCAGGAATAATAACTCTTTCTGTAATAATCAGAATACATGTGCCAACAAGGATGCGGGTCACGTGCAGGACCTGACAGTGTGCTGAGCTTCCTGGTTCTCATCCTTCCTCCCTTGCAGTGAGGACAGCTAAAGCCAGCACCGTCCCTCCACATGGTAACAAGGGCGGACCACAGCAGCTGCCCCACTCTCCACAGACCATGGGCCATGGCTTTTTCTCTCTCTCCCCTGAAGATTAAAAGCTAGAGGCAGCATTCTCTCCCCAAACCACCTGAGTGGGGAATCCACAGCACCTTGGCTGAGAGCCTGGTCTGGGGGGTCTTGCTAGGGTTGGATGGCACCAGCTGACCAGCCCTGACTGAGCATGGGCTGACCATGCATGCCTCAGCGGGGAAGGGATGGATTCTGGAGCCACTCAGATGCCTCTAAAATTTCCCAACGATGAAGCGAAAGGAAGATATCCTCATACCAGTGCAGAGTAGACAGGCTTTGGCCAGCTGTTCCTGTGATGGGCTTGGGGGTGAGTATTTCAGAGTTTGACAAAGCAGCCATGTACAGTGTATACTAAGGGCATGCCTGTGTCCCAGTAAAACCATATTTTTAACACCAGAGAATGGATGGTGTCAGGCCTGTAGCTGCAGTTAGCTAACCAAGTACCACCATCCCTGAGGCTTCCTGTCATAGTCAAGGACACTCTGAGTAGGTTGCATCCCATCCTGATTTCCGAAATGTAATTTTAACCTCTGAAGATATATATAATAAATTACATATTGCATGAACTTAAGTTTCTTATTCCCAAAACTTGGTGTAAAGGGTCTTCTGAGAGAGGCCCCCCATCCCACACCACAGGGCATGCGTCCCTACAGCCTGTGCAGGGGTCCCTGCCAAGGGTTCTGTGGGGGTGGAGGTGGGGGCGGGGGTGCTGATGCAGAGCTAGCACCCATGCCCCATGCCAGCAGCCTGCCTGGCACGAGCCCTGCCAGCTAGGTTTTGCTCAGGGTCTTGCTCTTGACCTCCAGAGACCTCACTATCCCAGAGCCAGACTTACGGTGGTGGCCCCTGTTTTTCAGATCCCCATCCTCATCCCATGCCACAGAGTAATCTGCAGCGATGGAACCATGGGCAACTACACCGGAGGACGGGCTGTGAAGGAATGGCTTCTGGCCCATGAAGGCAATCGGATAGGGAAGCCAGAGTTGGGGCTGGCCGGAACCAGGCTCAGGGCAGCCAGCAGCACCACCAACTCTCAGCTTACTGGCCGAAATTGAGTGTTTGTATTCAAAGTAAACATCTGAGTGACACATAGATGTAATGCCATATCAGAAGCAGGATGTGTGGTGGCACCACTATATTAAAAGAGCCAGATGTGTCCTGGGGGACATGGTGTGTCTGCCCTTTCTTGTTTCTACATTTTACAGCAGAATGAGTTCAGATGACCAGCCATTGTGTGTGGCATTGGCGCCCTTCTCTAATGTAGTCATTGTTCCATTTTTAATGTCCATTAAAATGGGGAGAGTGGAGAAAGCCTGGCAAGACTTAGGCCCCTGCCTGGGAAGGGGGAAGCATCTGGCACCCACAGGCAACAGCTGGCTGTCCAGCCCATTCCCACTGAACAGCTGACCCTAACCCAGCAGGGTCCCCAAGTGGCCCTTCCTTCCTTCCTTCCTGGCCAATTGTCCTGCTGAGATGATGGCTCACACTCAGCTCTGAGCGCTCCATACTCGGGTCTTACTGAGGGAAACTGGCCAAGCCAGGGAAGTGGGTGCTCAGAAGAAGTGTCTAGCATTGTTACTCCAGCTGCCAGAACAGCTGGTATAAGATGCATCCACAGACAGGATCAACTGAATAGAAAACAACTATTTTCCAGAAAGAGTTAGAAAGATAGCTTCTAAGACCTGGTTTTGGCTGAACTGGGACCTTTTTAGGTGCTCAGATCTCACTGCAGATCCTTGTCTCAAGGTCACACCTCAAAGCAGATCAGCCCACACATTCCAACAGTACGGGGACCTGTTTACAAATCTGCCATGTGCCACAATCTGGCATCTTTTTAGCCGTAAAGTTACTATGTCTAGAAATGGAGGAAAGACTTGGAACTGTGAGTATGGATGAATTTACAGAGCACGTGATATACGGAGAAAATAAACGGCACCCAACTGTGCTGCGGAAAGCTGTGTTTTTAGCACAGCTTCTCTGTGCCGGTGTGAACCACAGCAGGAAGCTCTTGAGGTCTGCACGTTTCCTGGATGGACATACAGCCTCCTAACTGCACGGTGTGGTTGTGCGGGGTGTCGCACCAGAGAAAATAAGCTGCAGGCCTCCCCCTAACCTACGCTTTCGATATCCCCGTCTTCCAGGCTACTTGTGGATATGCTTCCTTGAACATAAAAGACATGACCAGTACTCACTTGTCCTGTGCACTTGGTCAGTCTCAGTTGTTACGGAGCAAGTTGAGTCTTGCATGTGAAAGGTCCTGTAGATATGTGGTTTCTCAGGAAAGTGTTCTGGGCCGCCACACGTGAGCTGTGGACACCAGGACACTCCCATTGGCCTTACTGGGGTGTTTTAGCTCATTTTTTGAGCATATCTCATGATGAATAGAGGAGGCCAGGAAGCTGCACGGGAAGGGCCGGGATGCCTCCCGCATCCGGAGTTGTTCAAGGGTTGTGCTGTGCATATGCGTCCCCAGCACCACAGAGTCACCAGGAATCACTGCTGGCCGCCTTTTTCCTCTGCCTGGACACAGCAGCAAGTTCTGGTTCTCACAGGCACAGCTCCAGGCCCTGTGGCTGCCTGCCTGTGTTCTGTGTACACACGCTCCAACAGAGGGCACTGTGGCTGCAGTGTGCCCGGGGAGACCCCAGCCTCGCTCTGCTTTAGGATGAGTTTGAAAGTGGGTGGCAGGGTGGAACCCTCTCCACGGCTGCCCCCCACGGCCACACATGGGTGGACAGGTATACACACTGTCACTGCCCACCTTTGGGGGCTGAGCACACCTGGGTGCCCCACACCTCAGGAATCTCCTGTGTGATCTCCACGATTCTAAGTAGGGCCAGTCTTTGAAGGAGACCTGGGACTGTGCAGTCCTAGAGAGCTGAGCCCCCAGCTTGACTCAGCCGCATGTGGCCAGAGCACCTGCCTTCTCAAAGCCATCAACAGGACCTCGCAGCTTCGTGCAGCATGGGGCTGTGTGTAGGGCTGTTTAGGCTGTACCCTTGGAGCAATACAAAACCCACCTCTGTTCTCATCTCTGAAGGTTTCCTTGCCGCTGTCATAACAGGCTCGACAGATGCCCCGAGGTGGCCATTGACAGAGGCAGCAGTCCTCACGCCACCGTGGCTGTGTACTGCTCCGAGGACAAGCTCTGCAGAGGCCAACATGAAACACCAGCACAGGTCGCCTAAAGCCGCTTTGGCTCGAGGTTGCGGCGCAGCTTGTGAAAGTAAAGAGGCAAAGGAAAGGCATAAAGAAATACAAAAATATTTTCCAAATAAAAGAAATGTTGAAACAAGAAAGCTGTGTTCTTTGGCCTTGGCCCAGGGTGCCACTCACCTGCCGGGTCTCCCTGTCCAGCCCTGTGGTGCTTTGAATGCTGACATGGAGACCCAAGCGGCATGACAACCACCGCTGCTCCTGCCAGCCATGCGGCTCTCACCACTTCCAGAGACCAAGGTAATGAAAGCCTCAGAAACAATATTTGTTCTTGGAGAACCACATTTATAATGGAGCAGATGCCCTTGGCCAGGCAGGAGGTGCTTTGTGGGGGTGGAGGCTGTGTTTTTCTCCCACAGTATCCCCACTGGGGACACAAGGCAAGTAAATTTCACCCACTTCACTGCATTCTGTGGCACGTGAGGTGGTGAAATGAAAGAGCTTAAGTATTTACAGCCAAAAAAGAAAAGCTGTAATTGTGCAAGTGTAGCCATAATGGTGTTGGCTGATGCCCAGTCAGGAACTCTGAAGGGCTTTTATGAGAGAGTTTGCAGAACTGCAGGGTGGTTGTTTTCTGCTGCTCCAGAATCAACAGTTGGAGGGCTTCTCAGAGGAAGCAGTGGCTCTCCTTCAGGTAACTTAATTGGGATTTTAACTCTTGACACTTCCGGCACAGTGGACAACTTCCTAAGCACCCCTTACTGGCTCTGTCATGTGCTAGAGATCCAAATCATCTGGATTTCTTCCATCTAAATCTCTGCTCCGTGGCTCTCTACTACTGCCTGGTCATCCCAGATCCCTTCTGAAGGAGCCAAAGCACATTCAGCACAGGTTTGTTCATATGGAAACCATCTAACTTTGTTCCTTAGACCATTCATGAATGCCAGTGCTATCCAGCTCCTACTTCCTATAAAAGTGCAGATGAGGAACAAAAGCCTTCACACAGATTGCTTGGCACTGCCCCCCTTCCTCCTTGCTGTGTAATTGGTGGAGTTTTGAGGGGTTAGAGACAGTCTCGTGGGAGCTGTTCAGGGTGACTTCCATAGCAGAGCGAAACTCGCACAGATTCTGTTGTAACCCGGACCTATCTCCCATCTTGCCCACTTCGTATGTAGGTACATCCACTTTTTCTAACCATGGCCAGCATGGACCTTGCCACCATCAGAGTAGGCAGGAAGTCACAGCTAAGAAGGCAAATTGTTCATTTCCCCCTGGAACTTGCCAGAAATCTTTGTGCTATTCGAGTTTCAAACAGCAGGTAGGAGGACTCAGGAATGATAAACAAATTGGCTTAATGTGGGACACAGGGAGCATTTCTTTTACCCTAAAGAATTTCCCAGGGCTGGGGAGATAGCTGGGCAATCTAAGCACCTTCCTGGCAAGAACAAGAACCCAGGTTCGATTGCTGGTACTGCATGCTATACCAGCCCTGTGCCCACTGGCCACTGAAACCAGGCATGGTGGTGCATACCTGTAATCCCAGTGCTGGGGAGGCTGAGACAGGAGGATCACGGTGCAACCAAGCTGAGGACTGAGACCCAGTACCAAATAAATACTTTAAAAAAAAAAACAATTTCCCACAAGTCCAGTTGGAAAACAAAACCATTCACCTTGAATTTCCTATCGCTGGGGCAAATTTGGATTTCCACCTGTCTTGTCTTTGTGTGTTTTCTTGCTGGTGTGTGGCAATGAGTTTGCAGAGGGCACTCAATGGCCCAAAGCGGCAGGTTAAATTTATTTGGCCTCCTTCCAGCCAGCTGGGTTTTTCTTTCTTGTTCGTGGGTGCTTGGTTATAAGTTTGAGTTTGAATTACAGAAGGTGAAGTTCAGGTCCACTTTGTTTATCAGTTTGCAATGCATAGGACTCTGCAGAAGGCCTCTGCCAAGCAGTGCCTGTCTGCCTGTCTGTCTGTCTCCATGAAAGGAGAGGAGTGCTACTCAAAAGCCAGAGCCCCAGCCTAGAGAAAGCGCAGGTCCTGACTTGGCTCCAGGTGACCGAGGGCGGCCGTCCGGAGTCCTCAGGACCCTGTGGCTCCAGCTGCTGACAGATGAAGAACGTCTGGCCTCCATCACGCAGGGCGGCTCCAGCAAGGACCTGCGGTGGGGGCTGGGCCCGCAGTGGATGAGAAAGTAGGAAGTGGATGCGGGGCAGTGAGGTGCAAATTGACAGCAGAGCCTGGCCTGACAGCGCCCCTGATTGATGAAAGGACACTGTTAACAAGCCTTTAAAGTTTCTCATTAATGTTTTTCTTCTTTTCACTGAAAAAAGCTGCAAGAAAAAATGCCACATGGATGGTAGTTAAGATTGATCCTGTACAGTATGGTGTCAGTGTTGCTGGGAACCTAAAAAAAAAATGTAAAAAGGCCATCCTATTGAATACTCATTTTCAGGCTGCCTTTTTAGGGGTTCTTGGGAGTCCCCACCATGTGGGGGACATGGCAAGCGAGGCACCCTTTGTTGACTGAGGTGCTTGACCTCACAGGGAACTTGCTGGACTGTGGCCTGAGGATGTAGAACGGAGCGTCCGGGTTTCCATTGTCAAACTCTAATGTGGTGGGGTCCAAAAAGAGCCAGAGAGCATCTGAAGAGAGGCTGGAATTATTTTGCGGCTCTGGGTTGGTCCCATGAGGTGCATCTGAGTGTCTGGGGCAGGGGTCTGTGTAATGTGTGTGCTTCTCTCTTCTCACCAAAAAGATGAGGACCCTGGGCGATGGGTCAGCAGGAGGCCAGACAGGCTAGGGAGCTTGGCTGCTTCTCTCCTTGTGTCTGCGTGGTACTCTAGTCATTCCCCAGCGCTTGTGCAACACATAGCACACGCCCAAGTCTTCCCACTTCAGTTTAGATCCTAAACACAGGCAGTATGTGTTTCTCCAGATGGATTTGTTGACTTAAATTAAGAAAAACCCAGCTGGAGAAAATATCAGTGTCCAAACATTAGGCAACACGTA